GAGGACCGTGTGATGAGGACCGTGGTGATGAGGACCGTGGTGATGAGGACCGTAGTGATGAGGACCGTAGTGATGAGGACCGTAGTGATGAGGACCGTGGTGATGAGGACCGTAGTGATGAGGACCGTGGTGATGAGGACCGTAGTGATGAGGACCATAGTGATGACCGTAGTGATGAGGACCGTAGTGATGAGGACCATAGTGATGACCATAGTGATGAGGACCGTAGTGATGAGGACCGTAGTGATGAGGACCGTGGTGGTGAGGACCGTGGTGATGAGGACCGTTGTGATGAGGACCGTGGTGATGAGGACCGTAGTGATGAGAACCGTAGTGATGAGGACCGTAGTGATGAGGACCATAGTGATGACCGTAGTGATGAGGACCGTAGTGATGAGGACCGTGGTGATGAGAGCAACAGTGAGGACAGTCGTAGTAGCTGGGGATGGCAAGTGATACTGGTGACGCTGAAATGTATAATTAGTGTATAATTGGCAACGAACGTAGTTAATAAATATATAATGAAAATTCCAACAGTGATTATGGCAAGACTGAGGCCTGCTGATGTTGCCATACCAGGGGACTCCTCGCTATTATTAATAATAATAATAATATAATAATAATAATAATAATAATAATAATAATACCCTAATTATTATTATTATTATTCAGAAAAAAGTTATATATTAACATTCATCTTTGTCATTGTTTAACATGTATAATATATTGAACAATATGTGTTTGGCATCTCGCCTGAAATTGTAGTGTATTTATTTGTATTTATTAGTTCACTTTAACACAGTACACTATGACTGTGTCACCAGCATGACCCACCATACAACAGTACACTATGACTGTGTCACCAGCATGACCCACCATACAACAGTACACTATGACTGTGTCACCAGGATGACCCACCATACAACAGTACACTATGACTGTGTCACCAGCATGACCCACCATACAACAGTACACTATGACTGTGTCACCAGGATGACCCACTATACAACAGTACACTATGACTGTGTCACCAGCATGACCCACCATACAACAGTACACTATGACTGTGTCACCAGCATGACCCACCATACAACAGTACACTATGACTGTGTCACCATACAACAGTACACTATGACTGTGTCACCATACAACAGTACACTATGACTGTGTCACCATACAACAGTACACTGTGACTGTGTCACCATACAACAGTACACTATGACTGTGTCACCATACAACAGTACACTATGACTGTGTCACCATACAACAGTACACTATGACTGTGTCACCATACAACAGTACACTATGACTGTGTCACCAGCATGACCCACCATACAACAGTACACTATGACTGTGTCACCAGGATGACCCACTATACAACAGTACACTATGACTGTGTCACCATACAACAGTACAGTGTGACTGTGTCACCAGCATGACCCACCATACAACAGTACACTGTGACTGTGTCACCAGCATGACCCACCATACAACAGTACACTGTGACTGTGTCACCAGGATGACTCACCATACAACAGTACACTGTGACTGTGTCACCAGGATGACCCACCATACAACAGTACACTGTGACTGTGTCACCAGCATGACCCACCATACAGCAGTACACTATGACTGTGTCACCAGCATGACCCACCATACAACAGTACACTGTGACTGTGTCACCAGCATGACCCACCATACAACAGTACACTGTGACTGTGTCACCAGCATGACCCACCATACAACAGTACACTGTGACTGTGTCACCAGCATGACCCACCATACAGCAGTACACTGTGGCTACTATTTCCAATTTTGTTACATTAGACAACCGGTTCTCTCAACATTCGTTCCGCGAGCGCTATGTCACGGGTTCGTATCCTGGCCGGGGAGGATTTACTGGGCGCAATTCCTTAACTGTAGCCTCTGTTTAACGCAACAGTAAAATGTGTACTTGGTTGTAAAAACGATTCTTCGCGGCAGGGGATCGTATTCCAGGGACCTGCCCGAAACTCTACGCGTACTAGTGGCTCTACAAAAATGTAACAACTCTTGTATATATCTCAAAAAACAAAAATCATCACACTATTGTACTTATTGTAATTGGTTAAGTAATTTGTAAAAAATAATATAAGTCATTTTGGATTGTTCTAAGGGCGAGCGCATACTAGTTAGATTCTGTTAGTATTATACTTGTCAGTGTAATTGGATATGTTTATGCTGCAACTTTTCTAAGCAATATTGCGCATTGAATCTAATTCCGTACTTATGTCTAATTCAATTTTGGATGGAATAAAATGGTGGTGGATGGTATCGGAAGCCAGAGGCGTGCAGGTATTGTCTGTGTGTGGTGTCCACTGGTTTACATATAGCGAGGTAGAACACAAACTGCAGGTCTTCCTAGTGCTTCTGTAACTCCGCCAATATCTGCTTTGTCTGGAAACAATGACAGGAATGTGTGGTAGATTACTAAGTTCTCCGCCCCTGCCTTGTCCAAGCTGAGAGAGGACCCTTAGTGCAATTCGAAGGACCACGCAGTAGTGGGTAAAGAAGTGTTGGTACACTTACTGAAGTTTACCTTATCCATAAAGTAGACCAAACTAGAGGTTACTTACAATGGACCAGAGAAGTCTTTTCAACAGGTGATAAACATAAGACTTTAAAACATTCACAACAGAACTAAACCTTCTAATAGTACTTGTATTCAATTAAAAATAAATGTTGAATGAAACGTGAATCTATTGAATGAAACGTGAATCTATTGAATGAAACATGAATCTATTGAATGAAACATGAATCTATTGAATGAATCATGAATCTATTGAATGAAACATGAATCTATTGAATGAAACGTGAATCTATTGAATGAAACGTGAATCTATTGAATGAAACATGAATCTATTGAATGAAACATGAATCTATTGAATGAAACATGAATCTATTGAATGAAACATGAATCTATTGAATGAAACGTGAATCTATTGAATGAAACGTGAATCTATTGAATGAAACATGAATCTATTGAATGAAACATGAATCTATTGAATGAAACATGAATCTATTGAATGAAACATGAATCTATTGAATGAAACATGAATCTATTGAATGAAACATGAATCTATTGAATGAAACATGAATCTATTGAATGAAACATGAATCTATTGAATGAAACATGAATCTATTGAATGAAACATTAATCTATTGAATGAAACGTGAATCTATTGAATGAAACGTGAATCTATTGAATGAAACATGAATCTATTGAATGAAACATGAATCTATTGAATGAAACATGAATCTATTGAATGAAACGTGAATCTATTGAATGAAACATGAAATCTATTGAATGAACATGAATCTATTGAATGAAACATGAATCTATTGAATGAAACATGAATCTATTGAATGAACAAATCTATTGAATGAAAAGTGAATCTATTGAATGAAACGTGAATCTATTGAATGAAACATGAATCTATTGAATGAAACATGAATCTATTGAATGAAACATGAATCTATTGAATGAAACATGAATCTATTGAATGAAACGTGAATCTATTGAATGAAACATGAATCTATTGAATGAAACATGAATCTATGAATGAAACATGAATCTATTCAATTAAAAATAAATGTATTGAATGAAAAACTGAATCTATTGAATGAAACGTGAATCTATTGAATGAAACATGAATCTATTGAATGAAACGTGAATCTCTTAATAATAAATTAACAATGGAAGCAACAATCTGTAGCTTGCGTGATTTCAGATGTGGTTAGTAAGCTGACTCTAAGTCTGACTCAATGTTTAGGTAGAATGATCAAATAATATAATAATATAAACGATTAGTTCTCCGCAGAGTAATATCAAGGATATTATATAATAGCAAGGGAGGTGTCTACAGTTGCTAGTGGTCCTGCTAGGGCAAGTTCACACTCTTAGACCCCCAAATACCTAATTAATAGGAAATATAATAAATATTCCCCACAGTATGAAGCCAATATATATATATATATATATATAATATATATATATATATATATATATATATATATATATATATATATGTGTATATATCACGAAAATAAACACGTGATTAAAATGTGACAATGTCAGACCACGGAGGAAAAATGAAACAGGAATTTCCTTAAGTACTTTCGTATATTAATACATCTTCAGAAGGAGTGAAGGACTCCTTCTGAAGATGTATTAATATACGAAAGTACTTAAGGAAATTCCTGTTTCATTTTTCCTCCGTGGTCTGACATTGTCATATATATATATATATATATATATATTATATATATATATATATATATATATATATATATATATATATATATAATATATATATATAATATATATATAGATATGTCGTACCTAGTAGCCAGAACGCACTTCTCAGCCTACTATGCAAGGCCCGATTTGCCTAATAAGCCAAGTTTTCCTGAATTAATATATTTTTTCTAATTTTTTTCTTATGAAATGATAAAGCTACCCATTTCATTATGTATGAGGTCAATTTTTTTTTATTGGAGTTAAAATTAACGTAGATATATGACCGAACCTAACCAACCCTACCTAACCTAACCTAACCTATCTTTATAGGTTAGGTTAGGTTAGGTAGCCGAAAAAGTTAGGTTAGGTTAGGTAGGTTAGGTAGACGAAAACACATTAATTCATGAAAACTTGGCTTATTAGGCAAATCGGGCCTTGCATAGTAGGCTGAGAAGTGCGTTCTGGCTATTAGGTACGACATATATATATATATATATATATATATATATATATATATATATATATATATATATATATATATATATATATATATACAGGTGGCGGTATAGACTATCCCATTGAAAAAGCAGAGCTACAGATCCGACTTTGAATGAAGTGTTTTTTATTTATTTAATTTTTAATTTAGTCGAACCGGGACCTTATGGCATAATTCACGTCCAGACTTGGCGAACAAGTCCAAATGGTTAACATATACCCAGCAATATAGGGAATATATTCCATATATGCAGGCGAGGAGTCACAATAACGTGGCTGAAATATGTTGACCAAACCACACACTAGAAAGTGAAGGGACGACTACGTTTCGGTCCATCCTGGACCATTCTCAAGTCAATATAGACAAGGATGGTCCAGGACGGACCGAAACGTCATCGTCCCTTCACTTTCTAGTATGTAGTGAGGTCAACATATTCCATGTATCTCAGTTGACCAGAGTAACCCTAGTGACACATAGTAAGGTAACCCAGTTGGAGGTCATGTCCTTAATTCTTGAGGTTATCTTGAGATGATTTCGGGGCTTTAGTGTCCCCGCGGCCCGGTCCTCGACCAGGCCTCCACCCCCAGGAAGCAGCCCGTGACAGCTGACTAACTCCCAGGTACCTATTTACTGCTTAGGTAAAGGGGGCATTCAGGGTGAAAGAAACTTTGCC